CGGGGCGGCCGGGCCGCCCTTATGTAACCCCTTTATGTAACGGTGTAACGGTCTAGGCCTTCGTCCCCTCCTCCACCTGCCCCTCGGAGCTTTGCTTCACCCTTCAAGATGGTGGTGCTTAAGAATTAAAGCAGGGGTCAGACTGGTCCTCAAAAAAGTCATGCTTTGTGGGTGTGTGTGGCTGCACTTTAACTTGTGCCTGGAGGTGGGATCTGGGGACACAGCATGGTAGCAGCGGCTCCCGGGGTGGCCAATTCTGCCCTTTCCATAGGCGAATTAACATGCATGGAGAGGAGCTTTGCTGGACCATGGGATGCTGTAGCAGCCTTGCTCAGGACCCTCCGCAAGTCACATGAGGAACCACCTTGAGAAAGATCCCCTGCTCCCCACAAATGACCCGTCACTGCTCATGGACAGGGCTGGCAGGAGATAGCCGGGTGTTATTGGGGCCACCTGAGCCTCCTCAGCTCCTGCATGTGCTGCTAGAAGCCTCGCTGGGCGAGAGGAGCTGCCAGGCGCTTCGCTGAGCAGTGGCGACCACGACGTGAGGCTGCGGCTGACAATAGCATCTGAGAGCGGCACAGGGGCCTTGGGGGGGCATTTAAATCAGAGGAGAAACAATGAAGAGATGTGGGCACTCACCTTTCCCTCCAGGGCTTTGCTGTGTGACTGAAAACCTGCCATTTCCCTCTGCTTGCCTCAGTTTCCCCACGGAGCTGGCAATCACTGTCTGCTTCATGCGCCTTGGAGGCTGAATTCTTTGTGTTTACAAATTACTGCGAGGTTCAGGAGTGAGAATGCTCATAAACAGTTGTTTCAGGCTCCAAATCTTAATGCTTTACTTCAGCGACCTCTGCATCTCTAAGTTGCTTCAAATTCTTTCCTTTACAAAGCAAGTCTTTGCTGTGATTTGTATTGAACTGGAAACTTCCATATTGTTTTTTTTGAGACAAATCTGTTACATTTCTGTATAACTCTTTCTATTCAGAACGTTACAGCCTTGGTTAATATTTGTCAAGCGGAGCTCCGACTGTCTAAACCACTGGGACGAGTTTCGTTTTATGTGTCATCAGTAGGGGCAGAACGAGGATCTTCGTGCTTGGCCTATTTGTTGTAATATAGTCTCGGGGCCATTGCATGAGAGTCAAAACAAGAAGCAGTTTGTTTCCAAACAAGAAGCATGGAGGAGAGTCCTCTCCGCCTCCTTCCCTGTAAGGGAAAAGGAGGAGGAGAGGAGAGAAAGTTATCTTTAACAGATTCTAAAAATGCCTTTTCCCAAATACGCAGTCAGTCCCTTCAAAGGTCTCTTTGTTTGTTTTCAGGAAGAAACCCAAGACAGCTGAAAACCAGAAGGCGTCTGAGGAGAATGAGATTACTCAGACGGGTGCATGCAGCGCCAAGCCAGGCCTTCCCTGCCTGAACCTTGAAGCTGCTCCGTCTCTGAGCCCGGCCCTCGTCCACTCACCACATTCACCAACAAACCTGCACGCACATACAGGGTCATCTGATTGTGAGTACACTAACACACTGCTGGGTTGCTTTGGGCTTCTTAAAAACACTCTCCTGATAGCAGGCCAGCTGTGTGTTCTTTGCGTAATGGCACGAGCAAGGCTTCCTCTGGACTTACCAAAGACTTACCTTTTCCCTTCTGTGGGAATTAGTACTGGAATTGCTGAGGTCACGATAATGCAGTCAGCCAGAGGAATCTGCAAGTGTGCTGCTGGGTCAGGTTGCTGTCTGCTCCTGCTTCTTAAAGAATAAGCTAAGAGCCCTCAAATATTTTAGCTTTTTCCAACAAGCACTGTAGCTACTCCTATAGAGACAGTCATGTTTCTCATTACCCAAAAGTATCTACTGACTGGAATTTTCAATCTCTAATTGCAGATGTCTAGCCATGACAGCCAGGGTTAGAAAGGATTTCCACCAAGAAAGGGAGGGGAGTGCTCATGGAGAGGAGATGAGATCTAACCTGTGAGAGGTCTGGAAGATTTCAGGAGACCCATGTGGCCATACCAGCCCTTTTGTTCAGGGCATTCACTGTAAGATTACTCAACACAGGTCAACTGGCCTTTTAAAAAATTATTTTCCATTTTGCCTCTACCCCCACCTCCCAACAGGGGAATAAATAAATAAATAAGCAAACAAGGAAGGGAATAATTACAACTTGATTTTGGAAAATCAGAATTTACACTGTCAGCTCTTCAAAATACTATCCTTCCACAGTGTTCCCTGCCTGGAAGTCTCCTGGGCAAGGACACGGAGGGTCATGTCAGCCTTGTCATTTACTGCTTTTAGAATACAAACTTTACCTGCTGTGAGGTGCTTTTAAGATTTTGTAAAACTTACAAGAAGGGAAGGGGAAAAATATGACAATGATGCCAGGCTTCAAGAGCTTAGAAACCAGCTAGACTTCACAGAGGCCTATAAAAAAATCAGGGCATGACAATAAAAAATCAGATTAAAAATTATGTATATCCTTTTTTTTTAATTTAAAAATCCTGCCTCAGGGCCAAGCTTGGAAGCAGCCGGGTTATAAGGATCATCACTATCAAAATCACTTTAGCTGCAATTCATTCCTACTGGCTGCTGACTTTATTCATTATGAGCTTCTTCTAGAGATCCTGATTTTTATAGAACTGATAAAAACATTGGGGGAAATTTGCTAAATCTCACCTGGTGATTGGGAGCGAAGGGAGAAAGATGTGAAACGAGAGAAGCAGGCACCATGCAGTTTAGTATATACAAGAATTCCCTTCAAATCTGAGATGTCAAACTGTTAAAACTGGGGTACAGATTTGTCTTGCAGTGTTTTCTGAAAACAAGAGGCTTGTGAAAAGATGCAAAAATGAACTGAACAACAGGAAAAAATAATCCTTATTTTCAAACAAAGAATCTCTTTATCCCATTCATAAAGATGAAAGAGTTCATTAGCAGATGGGATTTGAAACCTCACACTGATGTTTTTTGACAGGACAAATGGAAAGCCATGAAAGCAACCTTAGGACAGAGGCCAGCAGGATTGTAGGGAATTCAGAAAGTGATCTCCTGCTTTTCCTTTTTAAAGTGGCCAAAACAGAGAGTGATGAATACTAACAGAAAGTGCTATGGGGCAGCTTGGTGCTCTTCATGTTCTACCTGTTCAGTGAATAAGCAGAATTTTTTAGACCCCAAAGATTTTAATGTCCGCAAATCAAATTCTGTTCCTACTAAACCCATAATATGAATGTGAAGGAAAAATTGCAAACCCAGATCAGATGCTCCTTTTACAATGAAGTTACTTTTTTTTAGAAAAGAAATTTGATAATATGCTCAAGACTAATGAGCACTTTTCAGTTGTGAAAAATAATTCCCAAAATACAGTTGAAATGATACAAAAACTAGGTAAATGATAAAGCTTCATATGGGTTTGATCCTATATGCTTTGTAACCAATGGAAAAACTATTATTTTTAGCAGGCTATAACCTTTATTTGATTAAGGCAGTATTCATGTAATTGTTTTTGGCACACACATGCTAAATAGTAATATCAGGTTTTCACATGAAATAAAAATACGGTATCATTAGTTTACATCTGCATATTTACCCTGGTTACCTATTGTGTCATTTGGTAACTTTTTATTTTTTTTTTTAAAATTCCCTCAGTCCCTAGTGCTGGAACAGATTAGGTTACTTGAGAGATGAATATTTGTGACTCCCAACATTTTAAAGTGGGTTATCTTGCCATTACCAGCTACTCCGTAGCTTTTGCCCCTCTTTCCACTTGTTCTGGTTCTTTCCTTGCACCCAAGAATCCTTTGCCCTTCACCTCCCTTCCTCTCGGAGGTGCATCGCCATATCTTTTTCCCCTCATCTTTTGGAGCTGTGATGGTGCTTTGCTTTGGACTAGCAGCACTTCCTAACCACCTGCCTTCCAGACTCTGCAGTACCACTTCTCCTGCTTTGTCCAGACCGCAATATTTCCTCTACATCCCTAACTGTGTAGATCATATCTAATTTTTAAAAGGAGGTGTTTCACTCTGATTAAGTGCTTTCTAGAGGATGGGTAAATAATCTAAAGATACATAAAAATTAGTATTGCACAAGAAGTTTGAGCAGAATAATTCAATGTAGAGTATCAGAAACACCCAACATAAGTGAGCATGTAAGGTATTTAAATTCTTGGAAAAATGTACTGGTGTACAGATGGTTCCACAATCTCTTGTTTATGCATCTGGAAGACAGACTTGGATTTTATGGACCACCTAACGAAATCCTTTCAAAATCTTCACTGGCCATTTTGCATGCATGAACACTAGTGTTTGGCAGAAAATAACACCAACATTTATTACAAGAAATATTCATAAGCAATCTAATTAAAAAAATCAGGTGCTTTTGGAATGATCCAGATAAAAATACCTTTTCTAGGTGTAGGAAATAAAAACACTAGTGTAGGGTGGGCACCTGCTCCTCAACTGTAAAAGACAGAGGTAAAGAAAGCCTAGGCAGTAGTCTGAGTGCTAATCTTAGGGAAATGAGTAGTTAGCAAAAAAAAAAAAAAAGTCTGGGTAAATTCGTATGTGACACACTGCTCTTTTCAGTACTTAATTCTGTAATGTAGTGTATTTTCTATGCTGTTTCTGCAGCCATTTATTCCCAATGCAATGAAATTGTGTTATTTCTGACTCTTATACAACTTGAATTTTTGGATTTGAACTTTATTGGTGTATTTCCAGTGTGCATGACTCCAAGAAGCAGAATCCAGAACCTAGGATCTATTGTGTCCTATTCCCATGCTTTTAAGTTTTGTGGAATTCTAGTTCACACAACTTAATTGGAGATGTAGGTTAGAGGAGGAGGTGCTTCCTGAAAGTAACTCCTTTCATGTAGGGTTTGACAGTTAACAAACACCACTTTGAATTAATTTGGAGCTGTATTAATTTGGAGTATATTAATTTGGAGTGAGTTATGTATCTCTGGTTACTCAGCTATCACAAAGAGATGTAGCTGCTTAACCAAAAGGGAAGGAAACTGCAAAGATAATTATGGAGGCACAGATTCTAGAAGGTTTCAAAGAAATAAAAGTGAGGTTTATGATGATGCTGTTTGGAAATTTCCATATATTTTCTTGTTTAGAGAGAGATGACATATATATTGGTAGTGTCGGAAGTTGGCTCTCTCTAAGTTGGTTTTGTCTTTATAGTATGTCCACTTACTGCAGAAGCTCTTCAAGAGGCATCCATGACTATATAGGCTTATGTTTTGGGAGGCCCAAGAGATAAGATCGTTTTGGCAGAAAGTTCCACAAGTTCTCAGAGATACAATCAGACAAAAAGTTCATTTAAGCTGTGATGTATACATTTAAACAAATGTATCCAAACTCAAAAGAATCCCATGGGAACAGTGCAACTGAATTCTTTTGTCTCCACTGACAGTTAAAAGAGTTATTCTTAGACATCGAATGGTCCATCTGTGAAAGAATTTGTTCCAGAGAAGGGAGAGCAGCATCCTAACAAAGAGTTTCCATAGGACAGAGAGGCAGATTGGACAGTGATGGGAAAAAACACTGAAATGATTTTTATGGTTTTTAGATAATGCAGAATATTTAAGAGGTTTGAGGGAGGGTAAAAGTCAAGAAGGAAAGTGAGGCATGGACAATTGAAAAAAAAACCAGTATGAAACAATTATTGGCAAGAAGTTGAGAAGAAGGAGAACTTTTTAAAGGGGAGCAGGGAGCTCTTACGTATTAAACAGAAACACTTTATGAACACATCTGCTGATGCACCAAATTTGAACCTTTTGTCCATATATGCTCAAGTGACTGGATATATATATGCTGACTGGATCCAAATCCAACATTTTTCACAGGATGAGCATTTTGAGACAGTCTTTTTATTTCTTTTTCTTTTTTTTCTTTTCCTCATGAAGTTTGATTTTCCTATCACGATAGCTTTCTAGTATGGTGAGGAAAGGCAGAGAGGGTATTGTGTACCCTGCAATTTTCTAAACTCCACAGAGCATTAAGAGTGAAGATGGAAACTCTGGCTTTTCATTTTCTTGAGCAGCTGGGGAGTCCTATATCCACTTTTTATGAATTGACAGGTTTGCTTTGCCTAGAGTTAGTGTAGAGGCTAGATGAATCTGGAGGCAGTTTGACCTCATCTTTTTTTTGTGTGTGTGTTTCCTATTTTCTTTCTGTGTAGGAAGAAAACCTATGACCTTATGGCCTTCCTTTTTCACCAGTGAAATTTGTGGCTATGATTATTTCTCAGAGAAGTACTGATGCTACTAGCTTCCTTGGTTTCAGAGTCAGGCAGTGTGTTAATAGTAATTTCATCTATGTGTTAATAGTAATTTCATCTGTATTTTTGCTAATCTATGTGTGGTATGTATTAGCTAATGCTAATGTTAGCAAATGAATATTTTTAGGTTGTTTTGGTGACCTCAGAAATGATGTATGGTTGGATATCTATTTTAGTCCATATACTAATGGAGCCTGTAGCAAGCTAATTTGAAAACAAGGGCATCCATATC